GGTCTAAAAGACGATTCGCTTACCTACGGACTTACCCCTGCTCGTCTTCTTCTTGCATTTCTTCATTTGACTTCAGCTAAATTCCTCACTTCTCTTCAGCTGGGGGTTTATAAACTCGGATTCTAATTCCAATCCTCAGCTAGTGTCCTCTCTTCGACTTCGACTCAGGATTTTGTTGGATATTCGGCCTTAATCTCACGGTAATTACCAGCCCTCCTTTTCCACTTTCTTAATTGACAACCAATCAACAGTTTTATTGATTTTGACTTTCTGCTGATTTTCCCTTCGTAATTTGCTTCTTCATTTTTTTTTTTATTAATTACCGATTTATAAACACTTTTAGCTCTTTGTTTCTTGTTTTTTAAGATTGGTTGGATTGTGGGTTTTCTTTTTAAGATGGAATGGATGCGTGAAAAATTTAAACGCAGCTGCTTTTCTTTATTCTGCCGGTTGTATCAAAGAAATGAGGAGTTTTGAAGTGTTGTTGAAGTTGATATTTAACTTGCTCCTTCAGGATCATATTATACACATTTACACTGATTTTAGGAGGAAAAATATGAGTCACCAGACATCAGAGATTGATAGCATATTTTCAGTTGTCACACTGATTTTTTCTTATTATTGTCAAAGAAAGAGACAATTTATCTCGATGCTCAGCTTTCGACTTTAATTGTCACTGTAATGCTTTGATTTTGTTCTGGACTTAGTATGTGATTTCTAAGTTAGCTTAAAGTTGATGGCTTTTTCAGCTTTGAGGTTGCTGGGATATTGTGGCGGGCTACGATTCAGATATTGGAATATGGGGCAGTGCTTTCCCAGGGTAATGCTCTTTTACCTAAATACATGCAGTTAATGTTTATGCTCTTTTCCTCTTTCATGCCTGAGTTGTTAGTTCATTTGTGTTTCTCCCTTTGGCCATTTTTATTGATTTGGTTGACATTTTGTTTATAAAATAAAATAGAATCAGATATCTTTGCCTGGGCTAATACCACTGGAAAAATAAAGATTTCCATGACCATTGGCAATAATGTGACCAATCTGGTAAGAGAATATAGTTGTGCTAACTTGTTGTAAATCTTTAAATGAAATTAATAAAACTATCAAATTGATAAAATATTCTGAACATATAGATTGTGTCAACGGTTTACTTCCACTGTGTATCTGTGAGTTGGTTTCAGTTGAAATCAATCTATACTGTAAAGTTGAGGACTAGACTGCAAATTTGCTCGTATAGGTAACTAGCATTTCCACTCTGCTACGTGAGGTGTTCATAATATATTAAGTTTATAAAAGAAGAAATATGTGAAGAATTATGTCCCTATATTATAACAATGTCTATAAAGTTTCATTTGTTTCCTTCAATTTCTCTTGTATCTTATACAAAATAAATATTGATGGACTTTTGCTACTGTGAAAGCAACTTTTCAATTTTATAACTACCTAAATTCACTTCATCTTTCTTTCTTTCTTTCTTTCTTTCTTTCTTTTTTTTAATTCTCTGTAATGCTTAATTTTTAACATGTATGGTGTATTTTTAAAGTCAAGTTTATCTATAATTTTATATACCTAATTTTTCATAATATAGGAGATTATCAAGATCTTGCAAAATTTGAAGTTAAATTAAAGTAAACAATTTTCAAATTAAAAAAGAAAAAAACCAACAACAACAACAACCTATTAGGGTTACCATGCATTTCAAATTTCAATCATCCAAATGCCATCCAAAAATTCAAGCCTAATTGCTCAAATTTTTAACCACTCAAAATTTTTAATTTAATTTAAGGACTTAAAAGTTGCAATGTTATAAGTTTGAGAGTTCAATCATTAATTTACCCTCATCAATATCTATGTATTCTGTTCTTTAGTGGTGTGTATCACTTTTAAACAAAAAAAAAAAAAAATCCTGCAAATTTTCATGAAATTACTAAAATGCCATAATTTCAATCAAACAAAATACCTTTGAACCCCAAATAATTTACAAAATTGCCATCACCCTTTGACTTTCTAGAGAGATAAAAGAACAAAAAAAGAGAGACAAAGAAATAATAAATGTTAAATTTACCCTCCTTATGCTACTTTAGATCTCAAAGTTTTAAAACACACTGGAGTCAGTTAGTGTAATGCAATGTCATAATATGGTTATTTGATTGAATTCCCTGGCTTTTGATAGCATTTATTTGGATCTTTTCAAGCTTATGATGTGTTTGAAATTGACTTCTTGGTAACATTATTTGATATAACGATTTAATATGTAGATCTATTCAATCTCAATGGAGTTGCTTATCACACCTCTTCACTTTTTACACTCTCATATCTGAAGGCTACTTCACTTTTCATTGTTTTATCTGAAGGATGGAAGATAGGGTTGATCATTTTATCCATAATCACTCTTTCAATTAGAACTTTTAGACATTTGTTTATTCCCCGCCTAGCCAAGCAGTAGTGAATATATTTTATTTAGTTATCACAATTTAATATCCATGTTCTGGAACTTGTTGGTAGAGATTTCTGCATGGTTTCTCATTAACTGACTTCTAAAGGTTTAGTTATGGTAAAGAGTTTATGATGTGTATAATGCAGAGTCAGTCTGATGAAGTTGATTCAGACCAGCATGTTGAGTTTGTTGCTGGGAATGTTAAACTTGTTACCACCGAAGAAACTTGGAATCAGAAACTGTCAGAAGCGAAAAAAGATGGCAAGATTGTAAGTTCTTCTTTTTCTGCTTCTGTTAGGCAATAAAAAGAGTAGTTGCATTTCTTATAGAGGCTCATCATTCTTGTGATTTATCTTCTGGTTCATATTTCAATATTGTGTGTGTAGATGCAGGTATACATTTACACACAAAATTTATGGACCACACTTACATAAAATCTCAATCATTCATCTTTTCACTTTTAATGGTTGAGAATTATTTACATTTATTAAAGATGATTATTGTTTTCACTAAAAAGTCATGATAAATCTCAATCATTGAAAATGGAGAGATGAATAGTTAAGATTTTGTATAATTGTGGAGTGTAAGACTTGTGTGTAAGTGAATCCCTTTTTCTCTCTCTATATGCTACCTACCTCCTTTAAGCTTTCCTTTGCCTTGGTACCATATTAATCCAAATGATCAATTTTTTATGGTAGGTATTAGCAAACTTCAGTGCAACATGGTGTGGTCCCTGTAGAATGATTGCACCATTTTACTGTGAGCTCTCACAGAAATACCCCTCTTTAATGTTCCTGTTGGTAGATGTTGATGAATTGACTGTAAGTGGTGAAGAAAATTTAATTATTTTTTCTTTGGTTGGGGAGAAGGTTGCTTGTGTTTGCTGCAAAATATTCAAATTAACTGGTGAATTGCACATACAAATTTTGTGTGGTGCAGGAATTCAGCACCTCATGGGATATCAAAGCCACTCCTACCTTTTTCTTTCTTAAGAATGGACAGCAAGTAGACAAGCTGGTAGGAGCAAACAAACCAGAGCTACAGAAGAAGATAGATGCTGTTTTAGCTTTGTGAGATATTACTTTTATGGCAGTTCCTGGCATCAGCAAGAAGCCATAAACCTTTGCTATATTGTGAATTCTGGTTGCTTACCCTGACTTTTGTTTGAATATATCTGCATTGTCTGTGTAATCTGCGTAAATATGTCTGACTGAACGAACAGCTTGTGTATGGAAAGCTTGCATTTTTTTGTTTTGATAAGTGGGAAAGCTTGCAATTTTAACTTGTGAACGAATTTTACCCTACTCTTGAAAGCACAATTTTATTGGGAAATGAATTAGTGTTTTTTTTTTTTTCCCCTTTTCCATCTGTTTTGTTGTTTATGTATGTATATCGTTTTTATTGAAAATCAATTTGAATATTAGGAACCTAAAAGGCTAAGGATTTCTTTGGGTTAGCTTGTAAGATAATTTACTTTTTTTGTATTATTTATGAGTAATAAATTTAAATTTTTATTGTAAAAAAATTTTAAAAGTTGCTTTTA